ACTTATTGGACTGCTACTATAAGATTTCCTGCTCTAGTTTGTGATGATTGTTTTCTACACAACTGTCAGGTCAGCAGTCTTTCCCATGATTGTGATTCCTACTGAACCAGACTGAGAGACCATTTAAAGGCTCAGGAATCCTTTGCAGGTGTTATGGCTTGATTAGCTGATTAGAGTGGAATACTTTGAGCTTAGAATTTTGCACCTTTTCACAATATTCTAATTTTCTGAGATTGTGAATTTGGGGTTTTCATGAGCTGTAAACCATAATCATCACAATTATGACAAATTATGGATTAATTATCTTGCTTTGTATGTAATGATTCTATTTCATATATTAGTTTCACCTTTTAGGTTGCATTACTAAAATAAATGAACTTTTGCACAATATTCTATTTTTTTGAGTTTCACCTGTATAGTCCAAGCTTAAACAATATGTTTTATGGCTATACATATCAAAGGAACTGTTGAGAATGAGGTAGCAGAATAAAACAAGTACTATTGTTATGTAACCAACTGTAAATTTTTATTTTAAGAATAATGAACATGTACAACAGAAGAAAGTGAGGAATTTAGGCAGCAGCATTTTAAGAACCTGCCAATAATTTTCCTAGTTTTATTCCCCCCCTCTAAAACAGCTTATAGCTTGGTCTTTGTGTTCTTAAAAACATAAGGCCCAATGGGTGAAGGAATTACAATATCTTCTGAGGCTACAGTCCTTGAGAGAATTGTAATAATTGTCATGGTTAGTCCCAACAAAGAGAGATGAGAAAATAAAAGGCATTATTAAAGAAACAAGAAAAAAAATCCATTCCATAAAAGGACAGAACAAAAAGAAAATAAATGAAAAAAATCAGCCTGGCTAAAACTGAAGTGACTATTTTTATTTCTTTTTCTATATAACTTTGCAAGTGGCATTCAGATGAATAGATAATATAATATATTGGAAATTTTGATATACAGAAATGAAAATGGTGCTATAATATTCTTAAGGATGTCTAAAGGAAGTTGATGAAAATGTGAACTAAACTGCTATTGAATAGAATTCCTTTTGCTTTTACAGGTACACAATGGGACAACTGAAAGCACTGAACTGTGAATTTTACTGATCAATCCTTTCAAGCTGAAAATTGCATTTTTAAAATTTTTGCTCTTTTTGTCAGATTGACAAACTAACAGCATTATACTTTCTTTAATTAACTTTATCTAGTATTTAAGGATAAACAGTAATTACAAGGTAAGTCTATCCTTTAACAACAAATGTCTGATCTCATGAATATAAATAAGTTGTTATAATTAATTTAAATATCACTGCTTTAAAAAAGTTGATGCCCTTGAATCTGGTACAATTCAGAATGCATATTTCAGGATTGCAACATAGGTTTTTGGGCATTCATTTTCAATCTGTAGGGAGAAATAAAATATTTTCACTGCCTTATTTTTCAGTCTTTATATTTTCAAACCTAATGGGTTATAGTAAAGAAGAATAAAGTAGATTTCTCGGGATAGATATTTTTGGTCCTGAACTTCCCAAATGGAAAAGGAATGTAAGGGCTCATAGGTTAATTGATGTTGCATTACACATTTCTCTCTCATTCTTGTCCCAGACTTTATGCAGCATGGAAGAAGCCAACCAGACAAATGTCAGCTACTTCATCCTACTGGGATTCACTACCACTGCAGAGCTTCAGATTCTTCTCTTTGTCCTATTTCTCATTGCATACTTAATGATCCTCATGGAGAATTTGATAATCATCACAGTGATTTGGATCAATAATAATCTTCATAAACCCATGTACCTCTTTTTGTGTAACCTCTCTTTCCTTGAAATCTGGTACATCACAGTAATTGTTCCTAAAATGTTGGGAGATTTTCTATCACAAGACAAACGAATCTCCTTCCAAGGTTGTCTAACACAGCTATATTTTTTTGTTACCTTTGTTTGCAGTGAATATATTCTTCTAGCTGTGATGGCTTACGATCGGTACTTAGCTATATGCTATCCACTTCGTTACCCAGTCCTCATGAACAATAATTTCTGTGTTCAGCTTTCAGCAGGATGCTGGATATGTGGTTTACTCACCTCCATGATCAAACTGAGCTTTATTGGCCANATTCAATAATTAGTCAATTGTTATTTTTTTATGCTTTCCCTTAAATATCTTTAATATAGTTTTAACCAATAGAAGGAAAAAATTGTTGAAGTAAGATAAAAAGTTTAATTTAACCAACAGAAAAAATTAGGGTAATAAAAAGGAAAAAATAAAAAAAAAATCAGTCGATAGACTACAAGCAGGGAGACAGGAAATGTTGCAATTACTTCAATCCACAAAACATCATCACAAACTAGAGCAGGAAATCTTATAGTAGCAGTCCAATAAGTATCAAATTCACCGTTTTATTCTTACTTTGAGGACTAGTTGTTATTATTTATCTTTAAGAAAAAAAGTTTCTTAACACAGATCTTCTGAAAAGAAAAAAAGAAAAAAACCCTCATCCTTCAGGAGCTGTCTCCGACTATGCCAGCCTGGGGGCTGCCTGTTTGTCTTCAGTTGGAAGCATTACCCTTGTGTCAAACAGGGACTTTGCGGTGTCCCTGTGACCAGCAAGGCTTTGGCTTCCCTGTCACCATCTCTTCAGGACGGTTTAGGTCCTACTGGACCATCCAAGGACAAAAGTTTCATTGGCGGACCCGGACTGTCAGGTCCGTGCGATGTGTCGTCGCGACATTGGCTCCTCCCTCTCCAGGTCTGGTTTTTTTTTAGTCCAGGTAAGATGCTTCTGATGCTGTTTGTTGTTCAGGAGCAGCTTGACAAGAGGAATATGATATTTGAAGCCCATATCCAGGATCTATTTTGCCTGGTGGCTCTTGATGCACTGACTCCAGCCTCAGTCTACTCTTTGAAAAAGTCCCCAACACTTTTGAATGACCTTTCCTGACAATCATCTCCAGGCTGTGATCATGCCTGCTGTTTGTGCACCTTTTTCTTCCACACTTTTTCCTTCCACGTAACTTTCTATTAATGTGCTTTGATACAGCACTTTGGGAACATCCAACTTCTTTTGCAATTACCATTTGAGGCTTTCCCTCTTTATGGAGGGTGTCAATGATTGTTTTCTACACAACTGTCATGTCAGCAATCTTTCCCATGATTGTGATTCCTACTGAACCAGACTGAGAGGCTCAGGAACCCTTTGCAGGTGTTATGGCTTAATTAGCTGATTAGAGTGGGACACTTTGAGTCTAGAATATTCCATCTTTTCATAATGTTCTAATTTTCTG